TGATTCCTAGGGGAACGATCTCACTCCCAATCACGTTGGGTGAAACCAACGAAATGACCAAAATGACGGAGTTTTTGATAGTGGATTGTTAGTCTGCCTTCAATGGCATTCTGGGACGACTTCTACTGGGAAATTTCAAGCCAGTCACCTCCATCTACTATCTGAAAATGAAGTTCCCCACCTTGACGAGGATTAGGGAAGTAAAATTATCTCAACGCGAATCTCGCGACTGCTAAATAAGAGCAGTGCATATGACATGCAAGGGAAAGGGAAGGCCAATAGGCATCCCCGAGCAGGCTATGGCAATTAGCAGGATCGAGTCACAGCCCAGGCCAGGCCAGCCCAGCCCAGCCCAGCCCAGCCCAGCCCAGTAGGGGACAACATGGATCCTCGCATTCAAGAGTGCCCTCACAGTGGGCTAGTTAAGGACCTATCTAAGGTGTCAGTCGATCAAAATGAGCCGACCCGAGTGTTAAGAATTGGGAGTAATCTCAACCCCTAGCTCGCTAAAAGCCTAACAAGCTTTCTTAAAGAGAATGTCGATGTTTTTGCATGGACTCATACTGACATGATCGGGATCAACCCGAATGTCATATGTCATGCACTCAACATTGATAGTGCAGTCAAGCCGGTTCACCATAAGAGAAGAGTCATGGACTCTAAACACTATGCTGCCTTGAAAACTGAGGTAGATAAGCTCCTTTTGAACGGGTCCATTAGAGAAGAGCTTTACTCGAGCTAGGTTGCCAATCCGGTCTTGGTAAAGAAGTCCAATGACAAGTGGCGAACCTGTGTCAACTTTACTAACCTCAACAAAGCTTGTCCGAAAAAGAGTTTTCCCTTGCCAAGGATCGACCAGCTCATTGATGCCACTTCCGAGCATGAGTTGCTGAGCTTTATGGACGCCTATTCGAGATATATTTAGATCTTGATGTACGCATCGAACGAAGAACATACCTCGTTCGTTACAGATTGGGGACTGTATTGTTACAAGGCATGCCCTTCGACCTAAAAAATATTAGGGCAACTTATCAGCGGCTGGTTAACCGTATGTTTTTCGAGCAGATCTAAAAGTCGATGGAAGTTTATGTTGATGACATACTGTCAAGTCGCATGTCGCTTCAGATCACATAGCGCATATCGCTGAGATGTTTGACGTACTCCGAAGATACAAAATGAAGCTCAATCCTCTTAAATGCTCATTCGGAGTATCCTTAGGAAAGTTTTTGGGGTATATGGTTAATCAGAAGAGAATCGAAATCAACCCCGAGAAGATCTAGACTCTCCTTAATATGAAAAGCCTGATCAATCGAAAACAGGTTCAAAGCCTAAATGGGAGAATAACGGCTCTCGGTCGCTTCATATCAAGAGCAACAAACCATTGCTTGCCATTTTTTAATATACTTAAGGCCAACAAGAAGTTCAAGTGGACTCTAGAGTGCGAGCAAGCTTTTCATAGCATAAAAGAACACCTTGGAAAGCCACATCTCATGTCCAAGCCTCTTCCCAAGGAAATTCTACTCTTGTACCTGTCTGTCTGTCAGCACGTAGTCAGCTCAGCTCTCATTCAGGAAGAGGGTAAAGTTCAATGACCAGTGTATTACGCGAGCAAGCGACTGTTGGATGCCAAAATGCGGTATCCAAAAATAGAGCGATTAGCTTATGCCCTACTGATCACCTCCAGGAAGCTCCGGCCCATTTCCATGCCCATACAATCCATGTTCTGACCAACTACCCGCTCATGCAAGTTCTTCAATAGTCGAAAGCTTCGTGTAAGTTACTCAAATGGGCAACAAAACTGAGTCAGTTTGATCTGCATTACAGACCGAAAACAGCCATCAAAGGGCAGGCTATTGCTGATTTCATTTCGGAATTCTCGTACTAGCCAAATCGGGAATCCGAGCAACAAGCCAGCGAAGTCATCCAAGAAACCGTTCAAAACTTATCAACTTGGAGTCTCTATGTTGATGGTTCCTCAAACAGGAAAAGAGTCGGGGCAGGTCTTCTCCTCCTCAGTCATAAAGGGACTCGCATCCATGGAATTCTTCGATTTGGGTTCCAAGCTACGAACGACGAGGTCGAATATGAAGCGTTGCTCGCTGGTTTGTGATTAGCGAAAGAAATAGGATTAAGCGCAATCAGTATTCACAATGATTCCTAGCTGGTTGTTAATAAGATCTTGGGAGAATATCAAGCCAAGAAAGAGAACATGATTAGCTATTTGAAGAAAGCTAAAGTCGCACTCGAGCCTTTCAAGCACTTCATGATCAAACAAATTCAGAGAGACAATAACTCTATCGTGGACGCCTTGGCAAGAATAACCTCGTCGCTAGACTCAGATGTGTCGGAAAGTATTCTAGTCTGGTACATAGAGATTCCTAGTATCAGCTCACCCGAGCAGACCATAGCTACAGTTGAGTCAATTTCCTGAATGACTCCAATCATTCAGTATCTCCGAGATGGGACTTTGCCCAGTGACAAAACTAAGGCAAAATCTTTCGCACCAGAGTTGCTAGTTACACGCTCATCGGAGATCAGTTATACAAGCAAGAGTTTAACGGCCCTCTCCTCTGATGTGTAATCAATGAAGAAGCAGAGTATATTATGAGAAAGATACATTAAGGGATTTGCGGTAATCACACTGCTGCACGATCCCTCGCCAATAAAATTGTCCACAATGGTACTATTGGCCTCTACTTCAGGAAGACACTTTCAATTTTGTGAAAAAATGTGACAAGTGTCAATAGTTCACGAACATCCCGCGAGCTTTTTCCCACCAACTGACAATAATGACCAACCTTTGGTCATTCTCTATGTAGGGAATTGATCTTATTGGGCCCATGCCAGCCAAAAAAGAAGGCCTCAAGTATGTTATGGTTGCGGTAGATTACTTCACCAAATGGGCTGTGACTGAGGCTGAGGCTGAGCCCTTGGCCGCGATCACTACCAAGAAGCTCAAAGACTTCGTCTTCAAGAATATAGTGTGTCGCTACGAAATTCCTTATACACTCATCTCTGATAATAGGAAACAGTTCGACAATGAGGAATTCAAGTAATTTTGCGATGAGCTGGAGATCCATAAAAAGTTTGCCTCAGTCGCAAGACCGCAAGCTAATGGTCAGGTTGAAGCTGTCAACAAAAACATCAAACACACTCTAAAGACCAAGCTTGGTGCTGCCAAGGGTAATTAGGTCGATGACCTCCCAAAAGTTATATGAGCATATAGAATAACTCTGAGAACCTCTACTTCAAAAACACCCTTCTTGTTAGCATATGACTGCAAGGCTATAGTCCCAGTGGAAGTAGGGACTGGTTCGTTCTGAAGAGACCTATTGAATGAAACAGACAATGAAGCACTTCTACATGCAAGTATGGACCTAGTTGAAGAACACCACAACAAGACTCGATTAAGGATAGCATCCTACCAACAGCATGCGAAAAGGTTATTCGACTTTAAGGTCAGAAGAAGAGACTTTAGGTCGACAACCTGGTTCTGAAAGAAGTCCTTCTTGGTATAAAGGGACCAAATGCAGGGGTACTGAGACCTAATTGGGAAGGTTCATACCACATTGCCAAGGTAATACGACTAGGAACGTATCACCTCAAGAGGCTTAATGGTTCCGGAGTACCGCGAGCTTGGAATGCTGAGCATCTTCGCCCTATTACCAGTAATTCAGAACTCGCTCTCAATTTTCCATTCCGTTTACTTGTAAAGTTTTCCTTTTAACCTTTATGAATAAGATTGTTCTTCTTTGTCTTGAACAAATATGTCGTGTATGATCTTGTTCGTTACGATGTTTTACAAGTTTCTTGTTTGGATATGTAACATTAGTCTTGTGTAGTACTCAAATTATAGAAGTGCTATCACAAATGGCTAAAAATACTTCTTTTATATATATGTGATTCGAGTAAGTATAGTGGGCAACCAAAAAAGAGATAAGTAATAAAAAGAAAAGAGTAAAAAAACAAGCTGTGTAGAAGCAGAAGAAGCGATCACTGATCTCCACCTCCAGGCTCTATGGACACGACCTTTGTATCCCCCGGTTGGTCGCCAACCATCCAATCAGCTGTTGGGTCCTTAGGGACGTAGGCCTTAGACTGGTCATCCTCCAAAGAAGACTCTTGTCCCTCTTCCTTCTCGGCATCATTAGCTTGGGCCATGGAAGCAAAGATGTCTTGATATTCATTCAGGAGGTCGGAGAGGTCCATCCCTAAATTCCTTGGTCGTAAGCTATAGATGACCTGTATTGCCTAATCAGCAGCCTTCCTCTCGAGTTCAAGATTTTGCCGCTTCATCTGATAAATTAATGAAGCGACCTGCCCTTGGGACAACTCGAGGTCCATTTCCAGAGCTCTCTTCCACTTCTCAGAATTTTCCTACAGTTGAGCTCTCTCTTCTTTCGCCTTCATGGCTCGCTCAGAGTTTACCTTCAGCTCCTACTCTATCTCGCCACACTTTTTGGTGAGTTTGGCCACTGTCCTTTGGAGCTTTTTGTTCTCCTCACCTCTCTTCTCGAGCTCAGCCTTTTGGAATTTCATTGTGCGAATGGCATAATTTCTCTCTATCAGGTACTGATTCACTTGGACGTGAAATGTTTTTGCCTCCGCGTCCAGAGCCGCGAAGTCTTATTTCAGCTTGGCATTCTCTTCCCTCAGCTTGTGGAGCCCTCCAGCAGAGTCCATATTGATCTTTTGTTGGGTCATATGCAAGGTGAGCAAGAACTGCATGAGAAAAGAAACAAGAGTTAACCTCCGTTTTCCCAAAAATCATAAAAGGTAAGAAAATCAATTGATATTGGGAAGTCCTCGACATGAACGAGCTGTTTTACCCGGCTTTGTAACTAAAGCGTTGTATACACCACCGGTTGCATGTGTTGTGGGAGTTGCCCCATGGAATCCAGCATAGACTTGTCTGCCCCTGGAGGAATTGGCATCTCGTTGACCCGTTGTTTGCCCGCTCTCCTTCAGGCAAGCTCTTGTGGATGCCAAGCCTGGTAAGACTACGATCCCCTCAGCTGCACCCCTAAGTCCTTTGGCTCGGACTGCGATTCCTTATATCGCTCTATGGGTGTTCGCGGGCCAATTTGTATCCTTCCTGTGGGGATATCACCAAGGATCGCCTCGACTGAGCTAGCCGAGGCGACCCGGGGAAATACGAACCCCCTGGTCCTTGTTTTCGGCCTTGGAACCTTGTATGGCATGGTTGCTATGCGCCATGAAAGCATGTTAGTGAAAAGGTCACTACAGACAGAAGAATGAGGTTCTAAGTGTGAGGATACTTACGGACTAAAGGTTCCACAGATGCTTTAGGATTGAAAAAACCAAACTTTCTTAGGTTGGCAGTAGTCACGAGCAATCTCACGTCGCGACTTTGCTCTGGTAGATTACCGAATGCCACGATTCGGTTGAAATCTGTCAGAGCCGTCAATCTGGTCGTCTTATTTCCTGCAATGAGACAAAAAAGTTCGTTAAAAACAAGAGCTGAAGAAATAGGAACAATTCGCAAATTGGAGGAAAAAAAAACCTACTCAGCTCCTTAAACTGGCAGACGCCATCATACTTGAAAAAGAAAAATTTGGTCTCATAAGCCCCGACGGTACTAGGATAACCAAATATTCCTCTCTCGATCGTAGATCATTTCGAAAGGCAAAAAGAGTCTTTATCCATGCTCTTCTTCAGATAGTAAGCACATGCAAGCTCCAGCGCTGTCAGCTCGCCAAGGCCATTTTTGTCACATGCGATATACATAGTAACAACTATCATATACGCATTAGGCGTCAATTGTTATGGCGTGACCTCGAAGTGGTCGAGGATTGATCTAATGAAGGGGTATCAACGCCCCACATTTAAAGATCACCTCCGAGATCACGACCATTCCCTCTGGGGGGATTCCGAGTTATATGTCATGTGCTAGTAGACACCCAAGGATTCGTGCCCTAAGTTCTCACTCTTTATGAAGAAAAAAGCCCTCCTCTCACCACTGTCCGAAAATACGCACCGTAAACGATTGCCAGACAGTTCATACCCACCGTTACCACAAAAGTCAAGCAATTAACAAAACAATAAAAGAAAGCAAAGAAGAAATCCTCCTTACCTCTTTGCTGCTAGGAATGAATTTCCTGTCATAACGGAGAGTGCACATCAACTAGAAGAATGGCAAACTGATTTCGTGAGAGTTTTGTTTTTTCTCTAAAAATATGAGTTCTGTGACAAAACTTGAAGCGAGCTCGAGGTTTTATAAGGGAAAAAAACGATGATTGGTTTCCCTAGGCAAGCAACGCTTGGGCGGGATACGTTTCTCACCATTGATTGCGATCATGTGTCGTTAATCCGCGAGAAAAAGTAACCTTTATGCTTTGTGAATGCCAATCTACGCTTCGTGAATGCTAATCGACGCTTCCCTCCATTGGAGCAACCAAGTGTCAACGTGGTTATCTCCATTATATTAAATGCACCCTCATCCACATTTAATGCTCTGAAAGAGAATGTCATTTCAGCATGACTTGCATTTAATGCACATGGCTGGTACTTATTGCACAATAGACACGTCTGTCAAAATAAAGATTATTTTATTGACTAGACTAGCTGTAAAGCGCAACGGATAACATTTAAAAAGGTCATTCGAGTAAAACACTCTTCGCCGTGTATCGGTTTCAAGACGATGTGATTCCTTGCTTTCGATAAAAATGTGCTAAGTATTCTCAGGTCGCGAGTTGCGGATGAGATTCAAAGTATGTCGGTATGGCACTGAGTAGGGTCTAACCCAGGTCGTTGAACCTGCAGGAGAAGACCACCTCAGGTTGCTTATGCTATTCTTAGAGGTATATGTTGTGACCTCCTTGCGGCTCGATCAACTCTACCAAATGTCATTCGGAACAAGTCAAGTCGTGGCATAATCATGAAGTTCTCAAGATTCAATCCCTAAACCTTAAAAACTAGGGGGCTTTTGTTATGCCTAAAAAGTCAGGGCGGACGTGGACTCTCATCAGCAAGAGTCATTAAGAATTCAAAAAGGCTTTGTGTCATCTACATGTTGCCACATTGCGCAATGACGAAAGAGGTAAGGTGCCAAACATAATATATATCCTATCAAAATGCAGTGGAAAACAGAAAATTCCAGTATATGATAGCAGATACTAGTGATTTTGGATTCTAAAGTTGAATTGGTAGATAATAAATAACATTTCATGAAAACATGTTTAAAAACTTCAAGATGATTTTGGGTGCCACAAGCCAAACACATTACATAATGAGATATCATATTCAGTCAGGGTCCTCCAGCGTCTGCTGGCAAATTCTACTATGATGTTGGTTTTTAAATCAAGCAATGTTGGATAGAAATGATCTAAAAACATAAGATTGAAAGTAAAGCTGATAAACAAATCTCATAAATAAGGACTTGAGGGAGAAGACTCTATTTTACTATACCACACCTTCCCGTGGGAAGAAACTCTCCAAGAGCAAAAACCAAACCAAAGACCAGGACAACTACTCCTACTCCAATCTATTACATGTCAAAATGCAAAGTAGTGGTGTCAATAAAGCTAATAATATATTTGCATGTGTGTATGTGTGTTATAAGCATTCAGCTGGTACATGATTTATGCTATTTTTTTTTTTAGTAATGCTACAACCACCGAAGGTTATACACTGAAGTCATGCATCGAATGATGTGGCAAAATCCTGACCGTTGATTAATTTTAACTTAATATTAATATTAATAGACGGTTAGGATTTTGTCACATCATTCAGTGCATGAATTCGACGTATAGCCTTTGGTGGCTGTATCTTTTCCCTTTTTTTTTTTATTAGTTAACCATACCACAAAGTACAACATATTTACCTTGGTACCAAGTCCAATTGTTTTCTTTTCTGACTCAATTGGTGCATCATAGTCAATTGCTCCAAATTCTTTTTCTTTCTCTGCCTTTTTCTGCTCAACTGCTGACCTGAGCAGTGCACAGAACGAAAAGACCTCATTGAAAAAGGATTCAAATATGATGTATAAACAAGCAAAATCCATCCAATCAGAGTTATCAAATATTATTGCACTGATTAAAGTACAAAGAATAAACCACAAGAATATGATGTAAATAAACTTTTTGTGGGAAGTAAACTATACCGATATACAGTTTCCAAACTGAACATGATAAACCAACCAATAAGTAAAACTATTGTAAACAACTATGTCAAACGAATAAACATTAGAGATGGCTCAGATAGATTTCCTAAATGCAATGTCATTAATACTGGAGATGGTAAGAGGATAAAAAATGTTCACTATTGGCATGATAAGTAGCATGGCGATAGTGTATTAAAAGCTTTATTTCCAGGATTATTCCTTAATGCAGAAAAAAGGTGTAGTATGGTGAAGGATCACATGCACAGGTGCATCGCAAGTTTTACAGGGGTTCCTAAGTTAATAAGAGCTGTACAGGATCATACGAATTGGATCTTATAATATTTCAGAAACTTAGACTTTTTATGAAAAACATGAAATATTAGAGTTTCCGCTTTCCTAAATTCTCTAGTCTCCTTCAATATCTTAAAGTTTTTGTTTCTGTCCACCATTTTGAAGCCAATTCTAACAAGCATGCAAATGCAAAATGCAACAAAGTATCACCTTTTAATTGCTGCCAGCCGTTCCTCAAAGTCAACGTCCAAGGATTTGATGTTAGATTTTACATCAAACTGAAAACTTAAAAGAGGCGCCTCTACAAGGAAAATTTTCATGTTAACATAACAGAATCAACAGAGGAAATAGAAAATTTCCTAAAATCAAATAAAAAAATTGCAAGTAAAATATCAGAATTGTGAAGTTAATACAAAAAACAGCATGACATTAGTCCTCTAATCAATCGAAGAAAACTTCAAGAAGTGTACAGATGGCATACTTACTACTTCCTTTTCTACGCACTCTAGATGATGCAAGTTGTTCGTGCAAAAATTCAAACAAGTAAAAAACTGTTAACAGAAGAGGTCAACTCTCCCAACAGTCACAAAAGCAGATCGATTATGAGGAGGTTTCCCTTGAATTGGCCAGTAAGGGCACTCCAATGTTCAGGTCAAACAACGTATTAATCAAAATCAAAGTTTTATGGCAAGTGTTAGCAAAATGAAATATAAAGTAATTGTAAAAGGGTTTCAAAGGATCTCATCATACCTTCTTTGATGACATACTTGGGTATTTGTAAAGCTTTATTGGGGTAATGCAAGATACATTTCCTAAATTATTTAACCACTACCCCAGAGAAGATATATAAATACCTAGGTATGTCACTAAAAAATGTGTGATGAGATTCTAATGGAATCTTATATACTTTCTTATACATTTCATCTTCTAACTCTGGTTTTAAAGCTTCATTTTCCATCAATTTGCCATCTCACTTGATTGTCTTAGCACCCCTGTCATCAAGCAAACAGACACTCCTTATAACAGCTTTACTTTTGTGGTTGCGAGGAAAGCTGAGTTCTCTGTTGTTAGTGGTTTTTCCTAGTCAAATCTTTACACAAGCCTGACAATGCTAGAGTAATCCATCCCTTAAACATGTTTTTTCTCCACCAACCATGGACTTTCATTTTTGTCGTTTTTACTTAAAAAATACCTAATCTAAACAATAAAGATCCTATCTGAATTATTCCAAATCAACGAACAGACATGTGAAAATTATACAATCTATTATGTTCTTTGAGATTTGTGTAATGTAATTGTGTGAAAATCAAACAAAGGAATCATGCTATTGTGTAATTGTGTGAAAATCACAATGCTAGAGTAATCACAATGCTAAATTATACCAAATTACATATGGATACAATTGACAATATAGCAATAAATAAAATAAATAAACCCACTCACCATTAATTTAAAAAAGAATAACTAAAAAAGAACTACTCACGTGTAGGTAGAGGACCAGACTGTTTTGTTACTGATTTCCTGCACCATATGACATACAAAATTGCATTATAAATGATTTTGCAATGACCAAATAAATTGTTATCCTAACTAGCAAATAACTGTAGATATCCTAAGATGCATAACTCTTCCACAGAAATACATTTTATAAGCATGATACAAAGTACAAGAGACTTCAAAGTGATTGACCAAAGGAGCTTCTGGTACAAAAGAGGGCACAAGTCCCTCTGCAATTTTAGAAATTCATGGGCATAATCAGGAGACAAGAACACATTAGCACATCAAAGCTTGCATGTACACACAGACAAATCCACCCATGAACTCCCGTGAGCACATATAAAGACTAAAAAAATTCCTCAATTAGTTGAACTTATATTTTGCTTTTGCTTCGTTATGTAACTACTTGATGCACATCCAGTGGTCTCCTATCTTATTTATGAAGATAGAAACATCATTTGTCTTACCAATATAAATCTTTTTACATCTTAATCATATAACATCGCATCTAGCAGCGGTATCTACTTTCTAAAGAGCACTCAAAAAACAGTTAAAAGTACTTATTTTACCTCCTAGCTATTTGAGTCCAGCACTACAAAGTGCTTTCGTGAAAACACTTCAAAAGGACCCCAAATCTTTCCATCTCTATAGTAATTGATAATGTAAAGAGGTAAACCCATAATACCAGAAACTTATTAAACCATTTTATAAACCTCAAAAGAAAAACCTCACTATGCTAAAATCGCAATTAAGCATCACCAATCTCTACTAAAAAAAGGAACGACAAATTTAATCTCATTTATTCCCCAAATAACCATAAATAAAACTAAAATCAAATACAAAAAAATTTGTATAATTTTATTAATATCCCAAAAAGAGACAATAACAAAAAAACACCATCAAATTAAAGAACCTTTTTTGTTGTACCGCCCTACCCTTCTCCTCCCTTGAACTACTGGCTTTGTTCGCCCGATTAACAATTAAAAAAAAAAATTATATAATTTCAGTCCCATATTACAACATTGAATTTTACAGAAAAGATTTGGTTTGGCGTGTCCAAAGCTCTCAATTAATAACACATAACTATATACTAAAAAGAAAATTTAAAAAAATGATCAACAAATTCAACTGAAAACAAATAAAAGAAATGAAAGTACCTTGTCTTTTTTGGAACCAAAACCTCGAGATGGTTTCGAATCACAGCATTTCACACGAAATGTGAGAAACCCACTTGCTGCTGTCGCAGAAATTACGGTCATGCTGGCGAAATTTTATTTAAAATTTAAAAATGAAAATTCAGTAAATTACTAAACATCCTGTTTCGCTGCAAAAATAAGAATTAATATCTGTGTTTTGGGTTCTGGTTTTTGTGAGTATTTATTTGAACGTTTGTGAGGAGGGACAAGGTTGGCTTGTTTTCTGTCTTTTGTGGTGGGTTGTCGGGTCGGGTTAGCTCCGGATTTGGACCGTTTCTACATCTCAACGGTAAAATTTCTTGTTCACAAATTTAAATTTTTCGGGTTAGCTCCAGATTTGGACCGTTTCTACATCTCAACGGTAAAATTTCTTGTTCACAAATTTAAATTTAAATTTAAACTTACACTGTAGCACATACCCGAGAAAAGGTAAATAAAAGGTTGAACGACATACACTCACTTAAGGTTTGCCTTTTAGATAATTTGGTATCTAAATAGTTTTAAAACGATAAATAGTTACTTTCCTTCTTTATCTGTTAGTAATTTCCGTCATCTAAATGGTAACATAGTAATTTTTGTAGAGCCACAAAGTTTTATATTTTGATTATCTTTCTCAAGGTTAGAGCGAAACTTCTTTTAAAAGATTCATTGAAGCTTTGACACTTGTTCACAACAGTTGACATTGAAAAAAAGAGAGAAGAGAGTAAATGAAAAGTCTATTTGTTCTTTGTTTGTGAACGAAATAAAGAAAAGTCTTTTTAGCTTTTCTTTTGTTACGGCTTTGTTCTTTGTCTGTGAAGGAGCTTGATAAACTAAACGGCAACTATCGACAATAACCAGTGAAACAAAAACCAGCTAAGTTTCTCGTATTGTGATAAGATTTGTCTAAGAATGTTGTTAAGTTTCTTCAACTAAAACTTGTTATGCTGCTAAATTGAATACAATCATTTTTTTTTATAAATTATTGAATTCAATTGAATAACTGAACTGAATTGAATACGATCATTTTTATATAAAAAATTATTGAATTCAATTGAATAACTGAGCAATTGAATTGAATTTTATAAAGAATAATGATTGACGTCTAAATGGGGATAAATCCTCTAACACTATGGTTCACGCACTACGCAAAAGAAACACAAGGGTAAGATGTACAATCCTAAACAACACATCCCAAACCTGAACAAAAAGGAGGCAAGGGTGCCTTTACAAAAACATGAAAAAAAACTAGCCCAAGCAACCAACTTTCGCACAGCACTTTGAGCAGAAAATCATCAGCAGAAAACAAAAAGGATGGAGCCTAGCAGCAGCACAAAACTAGCGGCTAAAGCTTCCAAGAACTATGACCAAACAAAAATATCCCAGCCCAAACAACCAGCTTTCGCAAAGCACCTTCAGCAGGAAATCAGTAGCAGAAAGCAAGGAAAATTCAGCCTAGCAGCAGCAAAAGCATCCAGGAACCACAACCAAAACAGCAAAACAACAATCAGCAACATAAGGTCCCACACACATCAGCTCCAGCTTCAAATTCCCAAAAGCACTCCAACCCCCCACAACAACGGCATACTCCAACCCAACATCAATCCAACAAAATCACAAATTCTGCAATCATTATAAACTAGAACATACATGCAGAAATGCCTAAGTGCCCATACCCCACCACACCTGCCCACCAAAACAAGCCAAACCAAACACACTAACACACATCTGACCATACGTAAGAAACAAAATCAGCACCTACCCCAAACATTCGAAATTGAACCAAGAAACCCCTAAGACAAAACAAAAAGACCAATTAAATCCACCCAATCAAAAGACATAAAACCATTGTCAATGAAGCCGACGATTGGGAAAGGGGGGAGTGAAACGTCACCAAGTGTTAGAGAGAAAACATTCAGGGGATCACGAAGTCGGCGATTTGGCGTCTGGTAAGGCGTGACGGCATCAAGCCAATGAAGATTCGGCATGGCAGCGTGTCGGACTCTATGGTTTTGGTGGTTAGAGTTTGGTTTGTCAGCATTTGAGTGAATTTTTGTGATGAAATATCATCAATTAATGAAGATTTCAGAACGCCGGAGAAGAAGGGATTCCATCAAACACTGAACGATGAAGAAGAAAAAATAAGAAACAAAAAAAAGAGCAATGGAGAAGAAGAAACAGAAAATCAGAAGAAGAAAAAATTCGGTAATTGATGTGGCAGCTTTTTAAGGGCATTTTGGTATTTTCCTAGTTTTTAACAGACATAAATCCCTAACTAAGAATGATGGAAATTATCTACTTGTCTTTTTCAAACTATTTGGTAGGGGTGAGCACGAGTAGCGGGTAGAACCAGAACCTGGGGGTAGAACCGGAACCGACACTATGCGGGTAGGTTCCGGTTCCAATTTTTTGGAACTGACACTATGCAGTTTCGGTTCCGGTTCTTGTGTGTGGAGGAACCGGAACCGGAACCTGGAAAAAGAACCTAAAAAGGGTACCCTGTTTGGAACCTGTAACGAGTACTCGGTTTAGAACCGATTTTAGAACCTGTTTGGAACTTGTTTTGGAACCTGTTTTGAAACATGTTTGAAACTTGTTTTGGAACCTGGACTGCAATGAAATATTTTTGAAATGTGAATAATAGGGGGTTTCTATTATTTTACATATAAAAAAATTTAAAATAGAAAAAATTAAATTTTTAGAATAACCTAATTAAATGAATATACTAATATAATTATATTTATTACATATAAATTATACCATATTAAAAACTTTAATATGTTAATATTAAATTTTTCATTAATTAAGTGAATAATTGGAATTATGGTCCAATTAAAAGTGTTTTAAATTTTTAATGTTATTAAAAGAACTATTTTTGAATAAAATAGTATAGATGATTGAATAATAATATATTTAGTTATTTACTTCAATTATCAAGTTCTAGGTATATTTATAGTAAATTAGCAATTAATTAATTATATATGATAAATTGATAAATATTAATAAATTTAATTATTAGTTAAATATCATACTTAATCAATTATAAGTTTATAACATTGCATTATAATTAAATGATTATTTAATTAATTATAATTTTATAACATTACTTAATTGATTTATAGTATAATTAATTATAGCATTACATTAATTGATTAGTACTTAATTAATTGACTTATAAGTTATAATATTTAGTATATTACTTAATTAAATAATTAGAAATTTAATTAATTATAGCATTACATTATAGATTTATAGTATAATTATTTAATCAATTATAACATTTCATTATAAACATTATTACAAACTTAATTAAATGAGTAAAAAATTAATTAATTATAATATGACATTAAAGATTTATAGTATGATTACTTAATTCACTATAACATTACATTATAGTATGATTACATAATTAATTATAACATTACTGCATTAGTGCATTATATAATTAAATGGTTACTTAATTGATTATGACATTATATTATAAATATTAGTAATTACTAATCCACTACATAACATTAGTAATTTAGCATAATACTTAATTAATTATTAGAATTAATTAATTACAACATTACATTATAATTTATAGTACGATTACGTAATTAATTGTAACATTACATTATAATTAAATGATTACTTAATTAATTATAAATTCTATTATAAACATTTTATAATATTATATTATAGATTTTATAGTATGATTACTTAATTCATTGTAACATTTCAATATTTATTATAATGTGATTAGTTGTTACATAATTCATTATAATTACATTATCGTATGATCATAATTAATTATAGCATTACATAATTAAATAATTACTTAATTGATTATGAGTTATGATATTAATTATAAACATTGTAATTACTAATTTACTACATAATATTAGCACAATACTTAATAAATGATTAGAAATTTAATTAATTATAAAATTATCTTATAAACATTACATTATAAACATTAATTAAGCATTACATTATAGTTAAATAATTACTCAATTAAATTATAACATTATTATATTACATTAATTATGATCATTTACAATATCGCATTACATAGTTAAATGATTACATAATTGATTATAATTATAATATTATATTATAAACATTAGTAATTTATTATATTATACATTATTTAATTAAACGATTAAAAATTTAATTAATTATAACATTACCTTATATATTTATAATATGATTACTTAATCAATTATAACATTCCATTATAACTTATTATATTAATAAATGATTAGAAATTTAATTAATTATATATAAATTATAGATTTATAGTATGATTACTAATTCATAATACATATTAACATTACATTATACTTTTTATATATCATATAATTAATATCATTACATAATTAAAATATAATAATTATTAATTAATTATGACGTTATATTATAAACATTAGTATTTACTAATTTACCAATACAATTAATGTTAGAATTTTATTAATTATAACATTACATTATAAATTTATAGTATGTTACTTAATTAATTATAATATTCTATTATAAACAATATTACAATACTTAATTAAATGATTAACAATTTAATTAATTATAATATTACTTTATATTAAATAATATTTACTTAATTTTATACATTACATTTACATTGTAGTATGATCACTTAATAATTATACATTACCATTAATGATTGCTTAATTAATTATGACATTAGATTATAAACTTAAACATAAGTAATTAATAATTATTAGAAATTTATTGATTATAACATTACATTTTGTTAAATAACTACTTAAATAATTATAAGTATTTATAACATTACATTTAGTATGATCACTTAATTAATTATAACATTACATATAATTTTGAATTGTGATGAATAATTGTTTGTGTTTGGTTTTGATTGACGATTTTATGTGAATTATGATGATTATTAAATTCAAGTGTTGCTTAGAGATTACATGTTATGAGTTACATTGGACACAAATGAATGAAATCAAAATTTATAGGGTGTATTTGTAAACTTTTAAAGTATTTTTATCATTTTTTAAACTAATATGGGGGTAATTTTTTTTACGATACCCGGAAAGGAGCTGGAACCTGCATTTTAGGTTCCAGTTCCTTGAATTGAAGAATCTTACTGTGCGGTTCCGGTTCCTTTTTTTGGGAACCTGCACTGTGCGGTTCTGGTTCCGATTCCTCCGAAAAGTACAGGGTACCCAAAACCGCTCACCCCTCCTATTGGTGCCAATTTGTCTTTACAACAAACCTTGGGAGGGTGCATGTCGTTCCCCCTAAAAAAAAAAAAAAAAAAAAAAAAAAAAATGAAAGTCTGATATACGGTTTTAAAACTTAACCGGTTGATCATACAGAGTTTCATTTTCGCAAGGTTCATTGGCAAAATGTATACTTGTATATTGGTAAAGGGAAACATAATTAAACTTTTGATTATATTAATAAATATTCTAAAAACGAAGAAAAATTATCAAATATAATAGAGAGAATTGGTATATGGAAAAACTGCTTCCCAGTTATACCACAATCCGTTTGAGTCACCCACATCCTTTACTGGAAATGTGGAGTAACTGAGTTTCACGATTCTATTTTCTCTCATATTATACAACATAAAGTTACCTTGACCTTTCAGTACCATTAATGGTTCATATTTCTCTCCAACTTTTTCATGCACAATTTGTAATACATTAAAACGATTAGAAATTACACTCTGAAGATCAACCTGGTACTTCAATGTCCAGCTTGAATAATCCCTCTTCATCTCCATCACATCAAACTTGCTACTACAGGGTCCATAGTTCTCAATTAGATATAAATTTCCCCTCGATTCCCCGAAATATCCAATTCTTCTTTCCGTCCATCCATCCCTTATCGCAGGCATTGGTATCCAGTCCATTAGCTCGTTTTCAATGTCGAATCGTAAGGACTTTTCTCCTTTTCCAACCCAGTGAATTGCGCCATTTGAGTAGATTCCGCGGTCGAATAGAATATCATCTTTAATAATGCGAGGATTCCCTGAATCTCTCCATGACCTTGTTCTCGAATGGTATACTTTTACCTTGCGGTACTTGAAGTTAGGCAATGTTTTGGAATCACAGATGCATACTTGGTAATAAGGTGATCTTTTAAGATTGCAGACTATGCTAATGGCGAAGACTTTCTCACATGGCGGTTTGGGCAAGGAGAAATATTGCTTTGTAGTCGGTTGGCAGATGTAGTACTTTCGCTCTTCTTCGTTGCTACAACGAAAGCTCGAGCAAAGTAGGAGACCATTGCAGGAATCCCGAATGCAAACACCATTATTATCTTCAATGAAAGAAAGGGAAGGCTTAGCTGCGACATCATGGTTTCCTTCATATGGAAAGAACTCAAGTTCCGAATAAAGTTTAAGAAACAAGAACTTCTGCAGATAGAATCCTGAAACATAGTGTTGGGGATTTTGTCGCGAGTAAGTGGCAATGAACACAGGATCGGAGATGAGATTGTGCCACCATTTGCATACAAGTTTGCATTGGATTAACGTCTTTAAGGGTAGACGAATCAGTATACTGATAATCGCGTCATTGTCATTCAAGAGCATTGGTTCACTTTCTGTGTGAAAACTCGTGTATATTGCATCAAATTCTTCTGCAATAAGATAATCAAGATCATCAGTATAAATTAAAACAATTTTCTAGCATAAATTGTGATGTCGAAATAATAAAGAGATAATTGACAACTCAGAAAACAAGTGATACGAAAACCATCACCACCGAATTGTATCAAGATTCAGATATTGAATTGTATGAAATACCCTATCACCACCGAATTGTATCGAGATTCAGATATTGAATTGTATGAAATACCCTTAGAGTCCGCTTGAGAGTTTCATAGTCGCGATTATGAAAGTAAACCACCGTAACAGTTTTAAAAGTAAACCATTGTAACGGTTTTGAAGGGTTTTTAATAGCGGTTTTTAAAACATCCAGCTTATGCTTCGAAGTTTATTTTCCAACGGTTCTAATAGTTTTTTACAGCTTATGCTTCGAAGTTTATTTTCCAACGGTTCTAATAGTTTTTTAAAATGATAAATTTACATATATGTTCGTAATACCACAACTTCAACTAGTATTTGAGAGTTTTGTTTTTTCAATTATAAAATAAGAATTTTTTATTTGTTTTTTACTTATTAATATTTTATAACTTCAAATGTTATAAAGTCTTCTTATCCTTCTTCGTCATTTTTTTCAACATCTACAATGATTGAAAAATTGTAACTCCACTTCTCCAAGAAATCATCTAGAAATGAGATTTTAATTAAAAAAATATTATGAAGATTGCTTAAAATTATTTTATATTTAATATGGTTGGAGACGCGCATAATACGTTTAAAATTTTTTTTGAGATATAATTAGGATAGTTTTATAGTAGATAGGATATTTGTGAAATAAAATTTTAAAACCAACCATAAACCTCTCAAAAATACATTACACTGATCAGAGGTTTTTGTGTCAATCAAACTAATGCATAAAAAATCTGGCAAATAATAGTTTTAGAACACCTTAAGACCTCAAATACAGTGAAAAAAAAAAAAATCTCAAGTAGACCTTTTAGGGTTCTCAATAATTCATTAAAATAAAACCCCCCCCAAAAAAAAAAAAAAAAAAACTAACTTCCAGGTTAACTCTTATTTGTATTAGAATTATCCTTCAATAACCAGGAAAAGAATTGACCTATTAATTGAATCAAACTAAAAACAAGAAATTTTATTTAATTAGGACTACTATAACAAAATAAGAAAATCTAAACAAGAAAATATAAGGGAAAAAAAAAAATCCTCTTTCCTAAGAATTTTAATAATATATGCTCTGCATCAAATTGTACATCAATGAACAACTATGAATAAAAAATACCTGTTTTTAATTGTATCAAAATGAGATTTAAGTTGATGAACAAACAGAAGTAGTACGCTTTTTCTTGATTATGTGCTTTTTAAAGAACTATGTGCTGCAATTTCTCGAGGTCTTATACTCAAGAAAACTTCTTGGAAATTTAATAGTTTACAGAAATTGTAAACTTTAATATTCAGATGGAGAAAAACAGATAGTGAAAGTCAAGGAAAGAGAGAGAAAGAGAAGCTTTACCTAAGGGAGACGGCGCCCGGACTTCGTTTGGAAAGGACGAAAATTACGCCGGCTGTCAGAATCCGCGGCTCAGAGATCTTACGAGGCGGCAACGTATTCTTGAACGGCTCAGAGAACTTCTTTCATGACTTGAACAGATTCTTGAACGGATTCTTGAAGATCTAGAGAACTGAAAGTCTGAAACTAGAGGGGCCAGCCGCCAGTCAAAGCCAACCCCGTACAAAAGGACAATTTTGCTTCACTGTGAATTAGGATTTAGGGTATTATCTGGGAATAGGGGTGTGTTTGTCATTTTTACAAACTGATAATTACATATACCCCTAGTAATGACCCATTCTTTCCTTTACATGTAGAGTGAGTTATCGGTTCAACCCTTATATAGGTTCTGGTCTATCAAAATTATAGTAATTTAAACTGCAGGATCTTGAATACAAGCCCAAACCTTTTGGGGGGTAAATGTAATTATCTCAAACTTAAAAAAATACAGGGTTTAATACATGGGTTATCTTCATTGGATTTGCTCAACATTGGAGGTGCCGTTGGGTTGGGTTGTTGCCAAGAAAAGAAATGGAAAATTAAAGCGACTGGATTATAGTTGGAATTTAGTGACCCTCGTAAACTTTTCCTTGAAGTTCAAGAAAAAATACTATGCTTCATGTGGACTTTTGTGGGAACAAATATCAGCAAGGCCAATCAAAAGGGCATCGTTTTTGGCTCTTTCTAACAAGTTGCAGTGGAAGTTTATCTCATCAATAATGCTAGGGTCACCGAAAATTTTACATCGAAAATATGTACCGGTCTACGTGTAACACGTATCTGTTTTGTTTAACAATTTTTCTAGTGAACGGCCGTCCATCAAATTTGGACGACCATTCACTCACATGGACGTCCGTCCATATTATATGGACGGACGTCTATATACAAGGGACGGGCGTCCCCATTTAAAGGACGCCCGTCTATAAATAAAATATGAAAATAAAAAAAAAAAACTTTGGGGACGGCCGTCCATAAATTTTGGACGACCGTCCCTTATGTTTGGACGGGCGTCCATTAGGAATGGACGCCCGTCCATACTTAAAAAAAAAAAAAAAAATTCGTCTTCTCATCTTCATTCCCCAACTCCTAGGTTCTCATGTTAGTTCTTCTTCTGAGCATTTTGTTGTACAAGAAATTTTGTTGTAAAACTAAGGTGAAAAGAACACGTCCCACTGTGGTTTTCATTTCTTGTCTTTTGAAATTTAACAAGCGAAAAATAGAACAAAAGGAAATGTTCCGGAATGTAAGTATCTTCTACTAGTTTTTCCCACTTTCTGTTGGCAAAAGTACTAATCAAAATATTGTCATTCAATTTCAGACACTTCCATCAATATAAACTAACCACATAGAACACAAGCATTATAACGTAGGAAACCACAAAATAGTTATACCCACATAAATTGCATCAAAATTTCATACCTTAGAAAGCACCTTTCCAAGATACTCAGAACCCATCCTGTTACTAAGATGCCTGTATTCTGGGCTGTTTGCAAAGTACTCCCGCTCTCTACGTCGAGCAGCAATCATATCAACACTTTTGTTGATATCAGCTTGAGAGCGATTAACTACGCCAATCCAAGGATACTGTAGCTTATATGACCTTCCTTCAAGGATCTGAAATCCCAACATAATAGGAGCAAGTCCTAAATTTGCAAAAGTGTTGATATGATTTCAAAAGACAAGAAATGAAAACCACAGTGGGATGTGTTCTTTTCACCTTAGTTTTACAACAAAATTTCTTGTACAACAAAATGCTCAGAAGAAGAACTAACATGAGAACCTAGGAGCTGGGGAATGAAGATGAAGAAGACGATTTTTTTTTTTCTAAAAGTATGGACGGGCGTCCATTCCTAATGGACGTCTGTCCAAACATAAGGGACGGCCGTCCAAAATTTATGGACGGCCGTCCCCAAAGTTTTTTTTTTATTTTCATATTTTATTTATGGATGTGCGTCCTTTAAATGGGGACGCCCGTCCCTTGTATATGGACGCCTGTCCATATAATATGGACGGACGTCCATGTGAGTGAACGGCCGTCCAAATTTGATGGACGGCCGTTCACTAGAAAAAAATTGTTAAACAAAACAGATACGTATTACACGTAAGCCGGTACACATTTTCGGTGTAAAATTTTCAATGTCCCTAGCATTATTGTTATCTCATATTCTTAAGTAACATATGCTTAATGAGTAGATGTTGTAATACGAAAACGCACTATAAAGAAGTTTTTTTTAGTAAATTATGCATTGTAAAACAATGGTTAATTTGTTACCAAAAATATTATATAAATTGAATATTAAATTACCAGAAGATTGACATCGCCACGAAAGCAAGAGTAGCAATAACGGGAGAAGCCATGACCACTAGGCGAATTAGAATTAGCCAATTAGGGCAGTCGAGTAGCTAACGCTGAATTTTCGAGGAATGCCAACAGCTAGATCATCCCACCACAGCCACTTTGACATCGTAAGCTCCGAAGCTCCAGGAGATGGGTTGAAATAAAAATTGTTGCATTGGTTTGAGTTGTACAATGTACATACAAGTACAACCAACTTTGATACAAATACAAACACTACATGTGAACTTTCATTGAACTTAGAATGCTAATAATTAATAATATAAGTTTCTTAATTTCCTTATTTAATAATTAAAGGGTCAATTCCATTTTCTGTGAATGTACTGTACAAGGGATCACAATACCTAGACCCTTTTCACAGGCGTAATTTTCAAAGTCAGTCATAACAAAGTGGATGACAGATGTATGAAAAGATGATTGATAAAATTTTATTGGCCACAAAAAAAATAATAATAATAATGTAGTTGACTTTTATAAGAGAAACATCAAATATAAGACAAATAACATTATAGCTGGGAAAGAAAGCACGTTAAGACTTTCAGTGAATATTTTCTTTCAAGTTTCCGGCACTCCAAGCCTAACATTTCTGCAAGAATCAAACAGGAGCAGTGGCGATATCTGGTGTTAAATACGATCAGATAATTGGAACATATTCAGTGCAGCCAATTCATCTAGCATGTAGTAATGATATTCCGTGCACAGATGTCGATCTAATCGATATTCAGTTGAAGCTGTCTCCAAAATTTCGAGGTTTTCACAGGACTTTGTGCTGGAATTCCTATGGAAAGTCAAAGGCTCCTTTGGTTCCTTCAAGTATTGACTATTGCTTGAGAAGGGATAGTGGTTTAATAATGAAAAGAGTAGCAAGATTTCATGAGCATGTGTGTTAGCATTAGCATTATCTCATGGCTTACTTTTAACCTTTTTCTCTTCTTTTTATAGATTTGTTGTGTATGTGCTTCCCTTCTGCTATATTTTTTTACTGTGTGAAGGTAATGGTTTGCAGTAGTAATTTATTTCAGATCAGTAATATAATATAAATGAGTTGGGGTGTTTTCTATTAAACCTGTAACTGGAACTTAGAAAGTTTAAACCATGTTCATATGTTTATAATAGTTAAAGAAATGAAGGGGGTGAGTGGTGACAGTAAAAGCACATCAGAAATCCACCCACTCCATCCTCACAGTTGAACCCATATCATTATATATGCTATGCTTTTAGAAAGAGAGCCAAGCGATACTGGTAAGTGGTACTAATTTATTCTGATTTGAGATCAATGTTGAACCTAAATAATTATGTTTGCAGAAGATCTCCTTTGGTGTTACGGTGTACTGTAGATTTTGTGATGCTAAGTAGCTAGCTGTCTTTGTCTCTGTCACTGTTTGAGTGTGGGTGTGGCAGTGGGAGAGAAAGGCTGCGTTCTTTCCATAAAAGAATGGAACAAAGCAGAAAGCATTGGATGGTGGAGAGCCCAAACTAGGATCGTGGGAAGCCTACCCTTTAATTCCATTCCTTTTACAGGCAGAAGAATGGGTAAAAGTTTCCAAACCAGGTTGAACTCATTCTGTACCGTCTAGGAATGCTATAAAACAGTGGTTACGGGGATATTGCTTGGAATTTCCTTGAAATATCTGAGAAGAAATAATTGTTCAGTCTTATATTTAATAGAGTAAACAATTTTTCCCCACTCAAATAATGGCGACACTTTTTTCACCAAAAAGTTTCAAAATACTTTATTACCCAAACCACAATTCCTTTCATGGCAAAGAATGGTAGGATGATCAAATATCATAATAAATGAGGGTAGGATGGTACTCTTATGCCGCCAAACCTACTGTTTTTGGCTAGTTTTTCACAGCTCTAGCAACAATTCGTGTGACTATCAGTTTGCGCTCACAGGTCGATTTTGGGCATCGTTGCAGTCCCACGCCATCACCATTCTCTTCCCTGATCATCATTCACTAAAACCCCTTAGATCTTGCTTTTGTCGACCCTGTCAATCGCTGGCAATTGAGCGATTTGTGGAAGCACAACCATCCCTCCCAAGTCAGATTCCGACCAATCCTAACTGCTAAGATTCAACATGCCACCACTAAAAGACTCACCGGCCTCTCCTCTTCAAAAGCCCAACAGCTTGGACCGGGTTTGTTGTCTGTTCGCCGTCGACAACCTCTACAAAACCCCTACTGCCACCCCATCTAGGGACAATCTCCAACGTCAGAATCAATCCAAAAAACCCAAAAAAACAATCAACATAAACATTTCAAAAAAACAATCACAATCACAATCCATCTCCATCAACAATCTCCTTTCAAAACAACACCAAACAAACTTCGATTTCGCCAAAAAATTGCAAATCCTAAGGGAAGTGGCACCAGCAAACGATGGACAACCAAGGTCGGGGATGATAGGGGTTTTGGAGTAGGGATGTCGGCAAAGCAAAAGGTGGTCTCAAGTCTCAATAGTGGTTTCAAATGCTGGGATCAACTAGAATTTTGTTGGAAATGCTCGATGTCCATGCGAAAACCCTAAAAAAGCGTCGACAATTGAAGAGTGATTATGGGTGGGGGTGAGAGGGTTTTGGTGCGGTAATGTCGGTGAGTTGAATGGTGGTAGCGGTGTCGATTTCCGGTGCTAGAATTAGCCAAAATTTGGGCTAAGGCTCGCAGAACTTTAATTTGCGATAGCTGGTGATTGAGTGTTGATCTTTGGTGGGGGTATTTTCGTCTTCACAGTGAATATCACTATATTTAACAGAACATAACGTCTAGGTAATAAAATTATATTTTGAAACTTTTTTGGTGGAAAAAGTGTCATTAGGCTATTATTTGGTGGGAAAAAATCGTTTACTCTATTTTATATTTATTTAAGAAGAACTCTATTGCAGCAGAAGATGATAATTGCCAATCAATTCATTAGTCTTCACTATAAACAATGCAATCATATAAGATAAATGGTAATATTACTGAAAGATGTTGAGGATTAAAGGAGAACTTGTAAGGTTCAAAAAGCATAATTAATAAAATTATGAGTACCCAAAACAAA